GTTCATGAACGTTACTAAAGATTCAATTATACCAGAGAGAAAAACACCTTACCTCTCATTACATTACAGTTATAATGTTATTTTGTTGTGCAAGAAAATTAATTTGTTGTAAGTAATGACTTAAGTTCCCAAATAATACAAGAAAGAAATTTTGTAGTAAATGACTTCTGAGTGCTGCTTTTCCCCACACAGAGTTGATATTACCACTTGGTTCTGCAAGTACAATGATGCAGGTAGATTAGCTGCCTTATTTGGCAAGAGAATGATATACAAAAAGTGAAAAATACTCAGGATAATCACAGCTCACCGCTCAATTTTTTTGTTAACTAAAGATGTCAATCTTCACCGATTTCATTCTTGCACACACAAACATTTATTGTCAACATTCTCCTTCTTTCCATGTGATTTCATTGGGAATTTTTGTACAGTTTGCTACATTTTGTTGTAGTTATTTGTGGAAGTAATTCCCTTACCTCACCCCTCGGCCTCCCAAAAGGGTCTGAAATGCAAACTATCTCATGACAGTTTTTGTGGTGGGGTCTCCCAATGTATGTAGCCGTCTTTTCATAGATGTGAAGGCCTCATTAAACTTTCGTCAAATAGCAAATTATAAACCTGTATCAGAACTGTACCATCAGACTGGTCCCAGGGGTAGAGTAAATCAGAGATATTGAAAAATAGCATATTAGGTTTTGTGTTGAGAAAATTGGGGGATGTCGTGGAAGAGCATGTGAATAGTCTGAATGAATACAGTCTTGACAAAGATTTATACATTTGTCTGATTCTGAGAGCCCCAGACAGTGTCAGTCTCTGGTGGTTTTTATTTTTTGCCTTAATGAAATGTAGTAGTCACAATTTAACTTTGAGAAATCAGAACCTGCATTTAAGTTGTTATTTCAATTAGCTCTTTCAAGGAACATGTTGAGGTAGTTTCTTTTGTAATGCTGGTCTGCCCTTCCTTTCAGTAGCAAGAAATACATAATGTTATGTTGTGTGTACTTATTTTGGCTCATATTATATTTCTTTGGAGGAATCAGCTATTAAACAAAGTAGATTTATTGATGTTTTTGTTTCTGGGTTCTTAAATAAATTGTATTCTGAACGTGGTTTTGGTTTTGTTTGTTTTTTAAAAAATAAATGACTGGAATCAGAAAGAGGTACCAGAAGACAAGGGGAAAAATCAGTGTTTACAGTGTAATAGCTTTTGGGTCCATTATTTCTGATCTGTGCAATATTAATTCCTCAAAGCAAAAGCAAAACAAAAACACAATATTTGAGTATTTCACGAGCAGATATGAGTGAAATAAGCCACAGGCAAGAAATGTAGCAACTAGCAAGGCAGAAGGGAACATAGGCTGGAAGTTACAGATCAAATCAAGCTGGAAATATAAGGCAATGAATCTGAGCTGCTCCTAAGAGGGATATGTTGTACAAACTAGCTTTGAAGGAAAGGTTAGATAAAACTTGGTGTGGCCCTGTTAAGATGAACTACTACTACTATTATTATTATTATTATTATTAGTAGTAGTAGTAGTAGTAGTAGTAGTATTGACAGAAAAAAATGATGAAATACAGGTGTTCCTGGGAAATATGGGAGAGTTGATCACTCTAATCCCAACAGATTTGTGAGATTAGTTGATAAACTTTAGACTGTGGTGTCCATTCCTAAGCTAGTACTACACCCTAGAGCAGAACTTTTCAAACATTGCATGTTGGTCACAGACTCCTTAGAGTCATTCCCCCAACACTGTAATTCACTCAACCCAGCAAAACAGAGATTAAACCAACCAACCACCCCTTTTTCGTGCAACTTGAGAAACCCTTATAAGAGACATATACATAAATTGTAATAACAAAATGTGTCAGGATACAACATATCTAATGAATTTATAATTTTAAAAATATATGATTTGTAAGATGATAGTATACATTTTTTGTCATTTCACATTATGTCCTGCCAGAAGATGAAATATATGGATTTCCTAATCTTTATCTTTTGAGGGAAAAAAAAACATGTCTGCACTCATGGTTCCAGATCCATGGAAATGTTTCTATATTCTTTGGGTTTTATCTTTCTAAAATGCTTCAGTATAGGAGGATGTGGTTGCAGTCACTCCCATCTTTTCCTGGTAATGGAAATATGGTATAGATTTCATGAACAGATGTCACATTAGCATTCATTTGGATCTGGGAAATTTGTGAGGGGTAAAGTCTTCTGTAGTGAATTCCCTACCTGTTAGGCTGGGAAAAGCCTAGGAAAATGTAGGCCCAAGAAGTTCAGCAGCCATTTTGGAAAGGGTGCCGGGGGAATCCATTTTAGTTACTCATTTCCTGAAGGGGGTGTGTTTAGAAAGAGCAGCTGTGAAGGGAAATGAGGGAAGACTGTGATTGGCTGAGTGAAAGTAGGCAGAGCCTAAGTTGGCAAAAGAAAAAAAATGACTTTAAGGGGACATTTGGAAACCCTGTCAGGCAGTCTTGACTGGGGGAGTCAAAGAAGAAGGGTCTAGGAGGAGTGGTGAAGGGTTAGTGGGAGAGGCCTGAATTTGGTCAGTTGGCTAGCAGAGATAGCTAGAGACAAGATTCCTACAGCTATTAGGGAAATAACTGGAGGAGTGAAGAGATAGATCCAGGATAGGACTATCTGTGCTGGTGTTTTGAATTACTTTCAGAGAAGAAATCCTGTTAGTAAATTCTGTGGAGGGAGAGAGAAGTGTTCCTGTGTAACTAAGTCTGAGCTGCTTAATGTAATCACACACTTTTAAGTCAATATTTTGAAACAGCTAAGCTTTACACCTGAATTGTTCCAGTTCTCTTAAATAAACATCTTTGTTTTGTTGTTTACAACATCTGCCTCATGTGTGCCTCTGTGGGTGAAGTTTTAAAAACAGTTTCCTGCAGCAAATAGGAGACTAATGGTGGCAGCGAATAATTTAAAGATCAATCTTTTAGTGTTACTTCAGAACACAAGCCTGAGGGCTAATCCAACATACTTTTGCCTAAAATACTTACAGTAAGACAAGGACTTTTAATTTTGGTGATGGCCAGAGGGCTTTCAAAAGGGTTTTTGACCAGAAGAAAGTTCCAGCTTTCCTTACAGCTTTTTCTTTTGGGCTTTGAATCACAGAAGCCACATTCCAATCACAAGTGGTGTTCAGCGTTTTGGGATTTTTTCCCCTTCAAATAAGCCCCCCCCCCCCACCTTATTGAATCTTCATTGACTATTATCCTAAATATCAGAGTCTTGCACACACATTCTAGCTGATGAAGAGCAATAAGAAATGCCTATTATGGTCACCTTTGGGGCACTCAAGTAGTAGGCCACTGATGGAAACAGGATACTATTCCAGATAGGGTTTTTACTGGGATGGGCTCCTCCTTGTTCCTTTGTCTCTGGGCAGGCATCTTTCACTTTTTGATATGCACACCTTCACTTTGATATGAGGCCATCTTCACTGTACCATGTTTTTATTAGAGTCACTTGTTGATGTTTCTTTAATTTAGAAACAGGAGTAGTAGCGCTGGGATCCTCGCCAACTCCATCATCTAATTTTAAAGTTCATTTGCAATAATGTTTCAACTCATCCAGCAATAGAATTAATGTAGTTGACATGTCAGGTGACTTCTGAACTTATTCAGAGGAATGTAGATTCATTGATCATCACTTATTTGTTTATTTATTGACATATTTGAATTCAGTTCTACGTCAAAGGCTTTCAGAAGATTTATCCTTGACCTGGTAACAGCTGTCAGATTTTTTTGCTTTGTGTTTCTTTGACCCATTGAAGTATTAGGCTTTTCAGAATTCTTTTCCTGATCGAAACTTTATTCTGAATTTATGATCTCGGAGATCTTTCTTTCAGTTCAGTTCTGAGCTGTTGAGAAGAGTTGAAAGATGAATGCATCACTTTGTAACTGGCAACTAAATATATGAAATGTCTTAACTAAAATATCATTGCAATACTTGCTTTTAATTGTTTGTAGTGATATGATGTGTGAACTATATTCAGCATTTCAGTTGCTTTGAAGCCCAACCCATTCATGTTTTCTGAAAAATACTATGTACTAGACTTTTTTCCCGGAGGTAACATGTATTGTAACTAGAATTGATACTCCAATGATCTCAGTGTGATTTAAATCTGAGTATTTGCATGTGATCCATCAAGCTGGGCAACATATAACTAATTTGAATTTAACATCTTTGCCTAAAGTTGGCAATTAAATGACGTTGTTGTGGTGGATCACATGAACTTTAACAATGGGGACTATAGATCACGGGATACATTTCATTCTTCAAGGAACATTTACCAGTCTTGAATGAATCAATGCTACCTGTCGGAGCCTTGTACATGGATTTTGTTAATGATACGTCTTTTTTTTTTTTGTACAACTGAGTTGTTTCAATGTTATAGACATGTGGAATGGAAAAAACCTGGGCCAAATCTTTCATGATACAGATGGAGCCTAAAGCTCTGCTAGACTTTACAAAGTGCCATCTCCCTTTCTTTCGCCTTACTTTACTCATTTGAAGATGGGGTAGCCCCCACAGTAAGGGGAGTACACATCTTTATCACAAATTACAACCAACCAGTGTCTATTTATCTCTGTTATTCTTTTGCGACTGAATAGCCATCGATGATGCCCTGGTACCAGCAAAGTAGTGCAAGGTTGGTGTAATGACAGGACTGAATTATGTCACCTGGGTTGAACATAAAAAACCTAGGCAAATATAAATTAAATTTATGCCTACATAATTCACCAAAAGTATTCTAGCTCCCATTAGGTAACTTTGACCAAGTCCTCCCAAAGGTAAAATGTCATTTTATTGCAACCAAGTTCTTAGTCAGACAGAGCCGTAGTTATAGTTTCCTGCTGCTTTTGCCTTAATGGATGTATTGTTTCTAATCTTTGGGATCCCTTCTGGGTTATTTTGTTCTTTCTTTATACATTTGGTGAACTGTGGGTTATTTCCTGCTGACCTTTCTTTCCGGTTGGTCTTCTAGACAGCGTAGAAGATGAAATGGAAATGGCCACTGTGCGGCATCGACCTGAAGCCCTCGAACTGCTGGAAGCCCAGAGCAAATTCACAAAGAAGGAACTTCAGATCCTCTATCGAGGGTTCAAAAATGTAAGTAGTGCTTGTTGACTTTGTCAGGAGCTTAATTGGATATCAGGTTAATTAACATCATGAAATGACCAATATGTTCATTGTCACCCCCTGCCATAAAGTGATTACAAGGTGACTTTTGACCTGTCATCAAGCTCTTTCAGATTGGTCCAAAGAAATGTTAATTCTCATAATATATTTCCTTAGGCTTTGCCAGGCTTTACTATTGTAATTATCCCTCCGTCAACTTATTCCATTCTTTTTGGGGGAGCAGCTTGCAGAGATTCCTACAACTCCACTATGGGTCATCTGATTTTTGGATTTATATTATTAATTCTCGAATTAAAAATCTACAAACATTTATATTATTAATTCTCGAATGTAAGAACAAAATAAATGAAGAAATATCTCCCTAATGCAGTGGTTCCCAATTTGTGGGTCCCCAGATGTTTGGGCCTGCAATTCTCAGAAATCCTAACAGCTGGAAACTGGCTGGGATTTCTGAGAGTAAAGAGCTTTCAGTAATGAATCAACTGTTGTTTGACAAAGTGGGGGAATTTTCAACATGGTACTAGCAAAGCCATGCAAAAAGCTGAAGATATTTCCTGTCATGTGCCCTGATTTTGGAATGGTTACTCTTCCCGACATCCATGATCTAAGTACTGTGATCAAAACGTGGCTGTTTGAGCAAGCGTTCACAAACACAGAGTAACGCATATGGATATAGGAATTCGATGATTGACGATGGAATTGGACAATGCTTTACAATAAGGAGACGCCAATGATGTTATTTTTATTGCTGTTGTGGTTTATGTAATTGAAATGTTTTTAATTGTGTTGTGATACTATGTATACTGTTTTGTTGGAAACCGCCTTGAGTCGCCGATATGGCTGAGAAAGGCGGTATACAAATACAGTAAATAAATGAATAAATAAATGCTGCATTTTAAACTGGTCATGTTGTTTAAATTTCTTTATTAGCTGCTTTTTTGTTAGTCATTTTTATGTGTATCTTTGCTAGGATTAGTTTTTAATGGTAGTTCTGTTGCTTTGCGTTAACAGCAGAATAACAATAATATCAAAGTGTTATAAGAAAACCAGCACTTTGAAACAATGTACTTGGAAATGATTTTGATAAATATAATAATCAAGGTTACAAAATTTAAACACTATATTACTCAGGTTGGGAGCTAATTGGTGGAAGCTAATGTTAACCCTTGAGGTTGAGAATGAAAGAAAAGATCATAATTATCATTTATATCCAGGCCTGTAGTGAGGGGGGGGGAGGTTTAGGGGTTCAACCCCCCTCCGAAATGTTTCAGATTTTTTTTAAAAACCCAATTTACTCATGAATTTTAACTGGTTAACCAAATCCCCATGCTAAGTCTATGAGATGCAAAAAATTAAGAGTCCCTACAGAACTACAAGCACTATCTCAAGCAAATATTTATTTATTTATTTATTTATTATTCGAACTTATATGCCGCCACTCCCCTGGGGCTCGGGGCAGCTTACAAGAACAGGCTAAAACAGAACACAATTTAAAAACAATTTAAAACAATTTAAAAACAGCAATATCAGAGATCAAAGGCCCGTCAAAACAGATATGTCTTACATGCCCTGCGGAAAGCTGATAAGTCCCGCAAGGCACAGACTTCAGGTGGCAGAGTATTCCAGAGTGATGGTGCCACTGCTGTGAAGGCTCTGCGTCTGGTTGCTGTTAGACGCAAGGTCTTGACACTGGGAATTTCCAATAGATCTTGGTCCTCAGAATGGAGGGATCTCTGGGGTTGGTAGGGGGTGAGGCGGTCCCCCAGGTACATCGGCCCCAGACCATGCAAGGCCTTAAATATTTACAATTTATTCACACTGTCATTACTTGCAGCAATAGCCGGTGTAGTGAAGCAACCAAGTTGGGTGTGTGTGTGTTGAATGCTCTCATTAAGGAGGCCAGACTTGGTGGAGGTGGTTAACAGGGGCAGAGCTGCAGGCTATTGAAGGCTGCTCTGCTCCCTGCTGTGCTCTTTGCTTCAATGTGAGCTAGAAGGCAGGTTTCAACCCCCCCCCCCTCAAAATTTTCAACCCCTCCCGAATTTTTTTTTTCTGGCTACAGCCCTGTTTATATCCTATAATAGTAAATCAAGGCATTACATATTGTTTCTTATAAAACAATTTGTGTCAAAAGTAATTTGAGAAACAGCAAGCTGCTTCTGGTGTGAGAGAATTGGCCATCTGCAAGTACGTTGCCCAGGGGATGCCTGGATGATTGATGTTTTACCATCCTGTGGGAGGCTTCTCTCATGTCCCCACATGAAAGGCTGGAGCTCGACAGACAGGAGCTTACTCCGCTCCTCGGATTTGAACCACTAACCTGTCAGTTGACCAGTCTTGCCGGCACAAGGGTTTAACCCATTGCACCACCAGGGGCTTATATGATATCACACATTGTTTGGCACAGGACTTTGTTTCATTACTATAGTTTGTTATTTTTAGTTGAGCCTACACACAACACAACAATTTTTGAATAGCATTAATTGAGAACTTTAAGAAAAGGCATATTTTTGAGCAGCATGCAGTAACTGTGCCCTGCATATGTAATGAATATTTAAGTTTATAGTGTAATTTTCAAAGCAGGGATTGAGCAGGTAGAATGAAAAGATAATGAAGAGATACTGAAGAAAGCAAGATTTCCTGATAAATAAATTGCCACTAAAAAAAAGATATAGTAAAGCTGAGTAATGCCAAAGTTGAATAATTTGTAAAATGTTAGAAAAAGAGGTTACATTGTAATTCAATAAGAGATTTAATAGGGTCCTCGTCTCCCTAGGTTTTTAAGATTGTTGCAGTGTTTTTCAGCTTCCCAGTCCTTAGTAGCACTGCTGATGAATCATTGCCATGTTGCCATCACAGTGGGAGAACTTCATTTTTAAGCAGGCTTCCTGTCATCTCTACTTACTACAAAATGAAACTGTGATTGCTGAAGTCATTAACCTTTCAAACCAATGGCACTGTGGCATGCCTTGTACAAGAGGCACTTCACAATAAATTGCCCAGGCTATCAACCATGTACTTGGCATGCAGCTTTTACTTTCTCTTCTTCCCAATGATATAATTCTCACAATTTAAAAAAGAAAAGTGGGGAAAAAATTCATGCTCTTAATTTTGTTCTGCAAAGTCATAGTTCACTACTTAGGACTTTTCCAAGTAAACCAAACTCCTTTATCTTTAGTAGTATATTCACTGCACTTTTCAGTGCCCTGATCTGGAGACATAATTATCTGTAACTTGCATATTGAAAATGACATATTTATCATGTTGTTGTTGTTCATTCGTTCAGTCGTCTCCGACTCTTCGTGACCTCATGGACCAGCCCACGCCAGAGCTCCCTGTCGGCCGTTACCACCCCCAGCTCCTTCAAGGTCAGTCCAGTCACTTCAAGGATGCCATCCATCCATCTTGCCCTTGGTCGGCCCCTCTTACTTTTGCCTTCCACTTTCCCCAGCATAATTGTCTTCTCTAGGCTTTCCTGTCTCCTCATGATGTGGCCAAAGTACTTCAACTTTGTCTCTAGTATCTTTCCCTCCAGTGAGCAGTCAGGCTTTATTTCCTGGAGGATGGACTGGTTGGATCTTCTCGCAGTCCAAGGCACTCTCAGAACTTTCCTCCAACACCACAGCTCAAAAGCATCGATCTTCCTTCGCTCAGCCTTCCCTAAGGTCCAGCTCTCACATCCGTAGGTTACTACAGGGAATACCATGGCTTTGACTAGGCGGATCTTTGTTGCCAGTGTGATGTCTTTACTCTTTACTATTTTATCGAGACTGACATTGCTCTCCTCCCAAGAAGTAAGCGTCTTCTGATTTCCTGGCTACAGTCTGCATCTGCAGTAATCTTTGCACCTAGAAATACAAAGTCTGTCACGGCCTCCACGGTTTCTCCCTCTATTTTCCAGTTATCAATCATTCTTGTTGCCATAATCTTGGTTTTTTTGACGTTTAGCTGCAACCCGGCTTTTGCGCTTTCTTCTTTCACCTTGATTAGAAGGCTCCTCAGCTCCTCCTCGCTTTCGGCCATAAGGGTGGTGTCATCTGCATATCTGAGGTTGTTAATGTTTCTTCCAGCAATTTTCACCCCAGCTTTGCATTCATCAAGCCCCGCACATCGCATGATGTGTTCTGCATACAAGTTAAAAAGGTTGGTGAGAGTATACAACCCTGCCGTACGCCTTTCCCAATCTTGAACCAGTCTGTTGTTCCATGGTCAGTTCTTACTGTTGCTACTTGGTCCTTATACAGATTCCTCAGGAGAGAGACAAGGTGATTTGGTATGCCCATACCACCAAGAACTTGCCACAATTTATTATGATCCACACAGTCAAAGGCTTTAGAATAGTCAATAAAACAGAAATAGATGTTTTTCTGAAACTCCCTGCCTTTCTCCATTATCCAGCGGATATTTATCATAACAATCATATTTATTTATATTCCACTTTCCACAGAGTGGAGTTGGGAGGCCACCATACACTCCAGTATCTTGTTCAGAAATGAAAGATTGTACCCTAACCAATAGTTTTCCATTTTAGAGGGGTTTGTGGATGGCCTTTTAATATAGATCTCACAATGGCCTCATTTAAACAAGTTGGAATTTTGCTACCAACCAGACTTTTCACCCACTCTACCAGTCTCCCTCTGGTCTATTTATTCAGCCAGGAAGGGCAAGGATCTAGAACAGGGGTCCTCAAACTTTTTTAAACAGAGGGCCAGTTCACAGTCCCTCAAACTGTTGGAGGGCCGGATTATAATTTGAAAAAAGCATGAATGAATTCCTATGCACACTGCACGTATCTTATTTGTAGAGCAAAAAACACTTAAAAACAATACAATAATTAAAACGAATAACAATTTTAACAAATATAAACTTATTAGTATTTCAATGGGAAGTGTGGGCCTGCTTTTGGCTGATTAGATAAGGTTGTTGTTGTTGTTGTTGTTGTTGTTGTTGTTGTGTGGTTTCAAGTTTTT